CGCATCACGCTTTATTGAAGACCGTACCATATAACAGCTGCCATACAAAAACCAGGTGAGCGAGTTGGGTTTTTTAATACATCTAAAGTCCCACAAATATTTAAAATACACCATTTTTAACGTGAATCTATTATTATTTTCAAGCACGAAATCTGAAAAGGAACCGCTGAGCACTGGCTCAGAAATCAGCTGCAACTCTTCCAGCAAAACGGGATCGGAACAAGAAAACGCATGTCGGAAATCTGAAGTTTCAAACAGTTTGTCACAAAAACCTTCAGCAGGTGAAGTCCAGAGGAACTCTTTAATGTTCAGACGTTGTTGAGGAGAACCCTGCTCCCAGTGTGCTCTAATTGAGGGCATGTTTTTGTCACCTGTAGGCGATGAAGGCTCGCATCCATCAGAAGACATAACAGAAGCTGCGGGTGCAGGGGCACAGGAGGCGGAGCCTATAACGGCCCAGAGGAGGAGAGAGCTGGAGCACTATCTCAAACTGAAAAGGTACAGGCGTTGTGCGTCATCACTAGTGGAAGTCAGCTCAGTATATATGTATTTAACTGTACCAACATGGTGGCGCTCCTTTCATCTTACTTCGTCTATTTCTTAGTGACGGCTGGCTGAAGGACCGGAGTGGCCAGTGGGTGAGAGACGAGAACGTGGAGTTTGATTCAGACGAGGAGGAGCCTGCTTCCTGCAAGTCACCGAGGAAGGACTAAGAACTGTGGGAAAACACAGCTTATAGCACAGTGGTGCATTCAGAGGCCACGGTGCTGTTTGAAGCAGCCACAGCGCCGTGTTCTATTCATCAACCTTTGTTCTCCGGTGCTGATTCTTCAGCGCCGTGTGATGTTGGGACTCACTTTGTTTTAATAGAAGCCGGCTGGTCACCAGTGATCATCGGCTGCTGCTCTTGATGCTTTTATTGTGCAAGGAAACTCACAATTTTAGGAAAAGTTATTTTCACACAGCTTATTTTGTACATTATTACATAAGAGCCACAACAAATAAAATAAAATAAATAATAAACTACACAAATTGTCCCTCATTTTTTGCATTAAATCATACTGGGATGTTTGCTTGATTGGATGTGGCACAGCCCTACCTAGAACATCTTCCACCAGCCGCCACTGCTATTTAGTATGCCAGAAAAAAGATTTAGTACGTCCCAATACGTAGTATGTCAAATGCAGGATGCCAAAACATTTTTGCAGTTTGCAAGCCAGCATGCTTTTCCGGCTATTCGTACCCACAATCCTTTGTGCAGCAGATATGTGAGCATGAGGGTCAAAGTTCAAGGTGCCATGTTATGAGAGAGTATGTGTATCCCAATTCAATGCATTCTGCATGAACCAGTACGTACTTTGTGAGGATAGTTACAGTATGAACTCAAAGTAACTACAGAACAAGAGAGATTTTCATCACCTTTTTATTGTCTATTACATTTCAACCCCCTTTCACTTGAGCTCCAGCTCCTCTGTTAGGCCTCCTCAGTCACACAGCCTGTCGGTGCTAATCTGGGTAGCGGAGCCACCGGTTGGCATTCTTCACAGGGTGTTCGTTCAGCGCTGCTCGCAGCACACGGTTGGTATGAGTTGGATAACACCGCCAGGGTCAGCGGGACTTAGCGTGGGTTAGTTTCTGATGACACCGCTAATATGTGTCGAAAAGCACGCGCACTTCATTAGTTTGGAGCCGAGAGCGTCACCACCAGAAGGCCCTTAATAATCTCCCCCTTGTTGTGGAGACTCGTTGGCAGAATGACACGAGAACACTTGTGAAATGCTTTGAAGTCAAATAACCAACGTTTAACTTCTGGTGACCTTTAATATCACAGCTGCCATTTCACTTATAGGCCTACTACTTTCATATACGTGTGACGCAAACCTGGATATATAAAAAAGAGAGAAACAGAACGTAATTACAATAAAAGCGTCTGTCTCAGCATGCACAGCACCCAGCATTACTAAAATAGACAGTCAAAGAGGAGAGAAACTCTTGGAATAGTTTGTGGTGAGGCATCGCCGACTCTAAATCATCTCAAGGTGCCAAATGTCAGCGAAGCCCGAATGGCTTTCAAAGATGTGACCTTTCAGAAGTCTGGCTTTCTGCGTTTTATGCGACGGTCGTGTCAAGATTGACATTAAGTCGGAGCGCTTCAAAGAAAATGAGGGAAAAGTAGGAGGAAGAAATGAAAGAAGAGGCAGTGAAAGGATCCTCAGAGGTTAGCAGCTGTTAGTGTTCATAAAACTCTGTGGGTGCAACCCTCTTCAAGTCGGCTCTTGTATATTTGGAACAAGGTAACTCAAGCCCAGCGGACGCGGTTACGGGTCCCATCAGGGTTCAGGGGTAAAAATAGCTCAGGTGCTCGAGGGGAGTCAGACGATCAGGAGCGACTTTAAAGGGATTAAAGCGCTGCGACTCTTTACGTGAAGGGTTGAGCCCTGAAATGCTGCAGTATTTGTCAATTCAAGGGGTGAAATGATCACGTAAAGTTCCCCATAAACTGTGAAGAGAATCATTCCTAATGTTTACTCTTTTTGATGGACCTGTTCAGTCTTACAGAGTTCTGTTTGGGTTAATATGAATATGATTAGAGGTTCATTTGAGGTTCTGCAAAACAATTCTGTCCAGTTTCAGCTGTAGATAATGAAATGCACCGAAGTATGTACCTCTTTGGTGCATTTAAACTTGTTCAGAACGCTCTTCACATATCCGATATAAAGGCGTAGAAACAATCAAATTAAACTTGCCAAACATTTACAAAAAAATTACTTGAATATATATTTTTTATTTAAAGTATTTACAGTTTTCTTCCCACAGAAAGCACCACATTTGAAAATGTTTTTTTCATGAATGAAAAGTGTGTTTTTGGATGATGATGAAGAGGAGGATGAGGATAAAAGCACAAAAAAAGAAGACGCCTCACATTTTGCTTGTGACCTATACATGCCTTTATGGTGAATTCAGCACAGTCTACAAAAAAAAAAGCTGGCTGCAGTAAATGAAATGAAATGGTTGCACATGGGTGTTAGGTGGGTCGCACCGCGCTCAGCGACCCGGGTTAATTTGGGGAGGATTGGTTCAGCTCCGGCGCTCCGCATGGAGGAAGCTGGCGGGAGGCTGGTCTGTCCAAAGGCTCCACAGGGCTGAAGTGGCTGTTCTTCTGTTGGCTCCTCGCTGCTTTCATCTCAATCTCTGCTGGCGAACTGCAGAGAGAAGAAAGACGAGATATGACACAAAATAACAGGAAAAAGACGGTCCTGAAACACACTTTACTTCACACTTCACACATCTTGCTCAGTGCATCTCAAAGATTAGCTCCAATCTTTCCAGAATTCTACGTGGAGATCAATAATTATGTTCTCACTCATGTCGTTGTTTCGTGTGATTGCCATGGCCGCTCTGGCGCGGGGACCCTGCTGGGTGAAGTGGTAGCCGAATTTGAGGATGCTGGAGTTGTTCTCCAACATGGAGGCGATCTCCATCTCAACAGAGTCTCCCAGCTTCTGCCTCTGCATGGAGACACGCTCGCCAGTGTTACAACTCAGAAATCTCACTTGTTGCATTTATTACCGAGATGCTCTGTAGAGCCGTAGTTTCGGTTACGTGTTTCGGACCTGGTTGTCGATCTTGAGCTCCACCAGCGTGGCGTTGCTGGTCATAGCTTTGATGACCGCCAACATGCCGTCCGAAGTGATGAAGTTGGACTCAACATTAAGACTCTGCAAGCTGGTGTTCTCCTGCAGCATCTCGGCACATGACTGGTAGACACACGTGGGTACAAAAACTTCATTTGAAACATTACATGGTACCACCATTTATTTTACTTGAGGATGGATAGGATTATAGGTTCAATACCCAACAAAATTGTAACGTACAAATGGCAGAGATGCAGAAAAGTGTCTTCTTGCCAGGTTTAAATATCAGTGGCTCGAAGAGCACGTATTGTTTTTCTTTATACTAAAGAAATTCAAACCAAAACATTAGAAAATAAACAGCATCTGTCAGCTGACCGCTTGTCGTTTCATATCGTACTCACGTAGGCCACGGGGTCGTTGCTGCGGGTCGCGGCGATGCTCAGAGACTCCACGTGAGAGTTTCCCTTCATCGCCTCGAAGACCTCCTTCAGTGTTGGGATGGGAATGTCCTGCAGCACAGACACAGTCACCTTTAAGAGCTTCATGCATTCATTTGTTAATAGAGAGCCGAAGGGATGACGGATTTTTGTAGACCAACCAGGAAGCGTCACACTGGTTCCCAGTCAACAGCCAATGGGATTCTTTCATTGGATTATTGCAGAAAATAAACTCTGTGGGCAAACAAACTTTTATGATACTTACATATGTTTTGTTCAGCAAGATAATCTTCAGAAATGAACACCGCTTTTGTAATTTCTGAAGCGTAGATACAATAAGCTAACGTTAGCTTGCTGTTAGCAACCGCCTCTAATAAGACACGTAAAAGCTTCAAAATACATGAATCTAGTGATGCATTTTATATCGTAGAACCTTATTTCAGGCATCTCACCAAAACAAAAAAACCACATTGACTTTGATGGTTCTCTTTGCTACTAATGAATTGAAGGAATAAACTGTTCAATGCATCTTCTCCAGCATCCTGTTACCATCGCAGTTTTCTTTCAGCTGACCTTGATGTTGTTGAGGTTGACTTCGGTCAGGCTGCTGTCGTTGTTGTGGATCCTCTCCAGGGTTTCCTCCACGTTGGTGGGGTTGGGCAGCTCGTCGGGGAAGATCTTGAATGGATCTGGTTTCACTACACCTGTAGGAGACAGCGTCACAGCTTAGGCTCCAGAGGGGCGTAGTGATCCAGTTTAAGGCTTCACTCATTCATTTATTGGTGTTGAACCAAGAAGAGGAAACTTCCTTCTTTCAAATGACACATACGTAATGTCACAGATGAGAAAACCCTCAACATGTTGCAAAGTGCCTTTGTGTTTTATTTTTCATGCAGGGTTCAACCTGCTGTACAAATAGTTTTATTTATTAGTGCTTATCAAACTGTGCAGTATCCGCTCAAATGCCACCGAGCTAAACTTCTGTTTCCACCATAGTTGAAATGCTCACTTGCACTTCAGCTCCATAAACTTTCTTTTTTTTTTTAAACTGCTGCTATTTTTCTTGCAAGTACCGGATAGGAGTGTGCATGTGCAACGCTCAACAGAGACAAGAAGGAAGCGAAATGACTCAAGTTTACTGTATTTATAGAGAACATTTCATAAAAGTGCTGTAGAGCTGTAAAAAAACATGATACAATTTAAGAGAAGCTACTTCCACCATCAGTTCTGGTAAATAAAAAAAGGATGGCTTCTATTTTACCATTTACTCATTTACTAGCCCGATGTTACATTATACTTATCCAATGCATGCTAGCAACCCTTATTGTGAAGCTCTGTTCATGTAGTTTATAAAGTGTACAGAGACAATCAGGTCCTGTTTGCCTGAATAAAATATAGTCGAAGAAATAAGCATGATGATGCCGGCTTCCTTCTCTTTTCTGGAAATGATTTCCCAGGAGATGCTCAGTGATGATCTAGCTTCTAGCTGACGTGACAGACGGATGGAGCCATGCGCTAATATGTTCCTCACTGTGGAAGACGTGCAGACTTCGACGATAACTCATCCATGAAACCATCTCTTACATGCTGAGAAACGATGACAAAGGGATTTTAGAGCCGAGTTTTCTAGGATTATTTGCTGCCACTGAACCAAACATGGCAACCAAGTTAACATTAGTCAAACATTTAAAATGAGTAGGGAAGATAGCAACGTTATGTTATGTCCTCCAACCTGCATGTGCTACCATGTCATGTGACTTGGGGGCGTTTCCACAACATAACAGAGCAGCCTGTTATGAGCCTCTCGTCCATAAACAAACATTTAAACGTTAATATGATCCTGAACAGGACTTTCAGATGACGATGTTCAATCTGTTTTGGGAAGTTCTGTTAGATAAGACTAGTAGTTCATTTCCCGGGACGCGTGGGAACCAATTTACGGTTGAAAGAGGGAAATGTCTGATCAAGAGACGATGTAGATAAGATTAAGAATCTCACCAGCAGTTTACTTTTCTTGTGACTTTCAATATGAGCTTAGTATGATATAAAACAATGTTTAAATTGTTCATACGTACTGTTGATGCCCTCGATGTTGGCGATAGTTCCTGTGGTGCCCAGAGCGTCGTAGTACTGCTTGTTGCTCATCAGCGTGTACATTCCCAGGATAGCTGCAAGTAGAAGAAAGCAATCACTGTGAATACCAGATCAGAATGTCTCTGATGTTTGGATGACATCATGCTGAATGTCCTGGATTGTCCAAAGAAGAGACCCAGTTAGGTGTCCCTTGTCTCCTGTGTGGCTCTATGTTTGATGAGATGAGGAAACTCGATCACTGGTTGTAATCTCACAGGGGAAGTAATGAGAGCACACATTTAATCACAAGGTTCAGGGTGGGCCTCGAGCTTTCTCAGTGTTATTCTAGCTGATACTGAGTCAGTGTTAAAAGACCACACACACACACACACACACACACACACACACACACACACTCTCTCTCTCTCTTTAGGAGAGGAGAACACTGCTGGAGTCTTGGACAACCTTCTTGTAAAAGACAGAAACCAGCCAGTTAAGAGGCAATGCTGTGAAGTGTGACGTTGGTCCACAGAGAGTGAAAAATAAAATAGATTTTAGGCTCTCTGTAGATTTTTACATAGAAAATATAAAACCCAGAATGACTTAGAAATAAAATAAAAAGTGAATATCTTCCACATCTCTGTCACTGAACAGATGACTGATAGTTTTCTCTTGTTGTGTTGTTACTCTTGATGACCAGGAGGAGGCAGACTTCCTCCTGTTGTAACCTGTTGTAACTGCTGTAACTGCAAGCCCCCCTCCCCTCCACCTCCACCCTCGCAGCCTCCTGACCCGGTGTGGGGAACCATGGGAAGGTTCTTGTGAGGAGAGGGAGGCCAGGGAGACAGCTGCCTGCTCGGTGGGTGGGGGGGCTTACCGACCGTAAACACCCCCCCCCCCCCCGTCATCCGGTTTGCCTCCTTAGAATAACCCACGGTAGCTTTACAGCACAAACTAGACTGCAGAAACTAAAAAAAAACTCAATTTAGCAACGTGGTGATATAAATAAAATGTGAAAATTAAGTTGTTGGATCTCTCTCTCTCTCCCTCTCTCTCTCTCTCTCTCTCTCTCTCTCTCTCTCTCTCTCTCTCCCTCTCTCCGGGCTCATGGAGCGGGTCGGCCCAGCTATTCAGCCCCCTTTTAGTCTGTTTGCCAAAAAGCCCAAACAAAAGCCTGACAGAGTCTAACCGAGGTTTAATCCTCATCTGGACTCCATCCAGGGTTAAAAAGGCCGTCTCTGTGACAGGCTGATGGAGCCGGACAAACACGCTCCCCCGCTCTGCCTTTCCGGATGCCTGCCTCTCTCTGTGTGAGCGCGTGTTCGTGCTGTTCAAAGGATTACACTCAATAAAGAAAACACGCTCTACATTTCAATTTAGCCTAATTTCTGAACAAGGGAGGCGGTCTGATACAGTTTTTGTAACTTAAGGGGGTCAGTTACAGAGGCTCTTTATTTGAAGTATCCGCTGCACATTGACATCAATGGTGATGTCAATGTGCCACATTGTCACAATGTGTTTGTTTGTGATGTTGATGATTGAGGAATAATACTACTATAGACAGTACATTAAAGAATAAAATGTCAAATCCACAAATCCTAAATGGAAAACAATTCTCAATGGTTTCTGAAAGACTCCAAGAATACTCGTCACATCACACTGTTGATTCCAAGCTCTGATAGAAAACACGGTGTCTTGTCTGTCTGTCACCACAGTAGCTTCCCACCGGTCTGTTTCTGACAGATACTGTATCTCGGCCCCCCACCGCCCCCCGTGTTCACTCCTCCCTCCCCTCTGGCCGCGGGCCAGGCTTATTTATTTCTGTGTTGCTGAGTGCGGAGAATTGGACCCCATCGCACGTCTGGCCATGTCTGTAAAGCAGGGACTACTGAAGCCAACAGCAGAGAGATAACTGGGCCTGTACTATAGAACCATGGTGGGTCAAAACACTGAGGTCTTAATCAGCACCAGGACAAAAAGATGACGTCATAGGACGAACAGAGCTTTCTTTTCACGGCAGATATTTTGACACGTCAACATCGGCAGGAGAAGCATGAAAGCACAGGTGTAATTGATTCCCAGTAAGAGCGACTGCATTCCAGTTGCTATCGTTTGTGCTGTCAATCAAGTGTCTCAATGAAACCTGGGCTGGGTTCAGAGTATACTAACTAACTGCTTACTACACACTCAATCAGTATGAGTTGAAGTATGATTCTAAAGTGCTACAACTGATATTCGTGGTAATGGTAATGGTGTTGGTCTAACCTGCGATGTCACACATCTCTGCGTCGGTGGCATTTTTCAGAGCCTCCTCCAGCTCCGGCTCCAGTATCACCTGCTCGTGCGCAGGGATCTCCGCTGGTTTCTTGGGCACGAAGGACTTTCCTGGAGACGGACAGAAAAGAATGGACGAGTTAAGAGACGAAACGATCAGAGATGAGGACTCCACAGAGCCAGACAGGACGAGAGTGTCGAGTTTCTGACGTTTGCGAGTGTTTGTGCATCAGTCAGCGAACAAAGTGTTTTACTCTATAATCGTGTTTCTTCTGTCTGAATAGTTTAAACCGTATATTTGTCTCTCTTTTGGTAAAAGCTCTGTTTGGATCATGTTTCACAAGTAAGTCGGGGTTTAACTCGGATTTGTGGACCAGCTCTAATAAGCTCTGTGTTTTCCACCAGAGTCGAGATGGTGCTTTCTTATCTTTTTCTCATTTATCTTCACGAATAACAACAAAAGCTCATTTTAAAACAGCACGTAGATGTATCCGGTATTGGTGGTTTAGATCGAGTTCCACAAGAACTACAGGACAAATACTCTCAGGTCTGCACATGTCAGCCTGTGGGACTATGATGGAAATGACCCCGAAACTCAGTGAGCTGCAAAAGCCCCACACAGACCTGAAACTAAGAGCCTGAGCTGCTGTGCAGTGAAGCATCGCAGAGTACAACACTGTACAGCTGTGTGAGGGAGACGGGGGGGAGTCGATGGAGATTTAAGTCTTTGCACACACAGTTTCGTGTCTTTGTCGTGACATAAGATTGAGATGACTTGGTGTATTTAACAGACCTTTCTTCTGCCCAGTGAAGGGCACCAGGTCCTCCCTGTCCTCGTGCTCCAGGGCCTGCTTCTCCAAGTGCTGCTGCAGGGCGTCGCGGTCAAACTCCCCCGTCGGGCCCTTCTTCGTCTGGTCACGCTGCCGGTAGCCAGCGGGCAGCATGGCATTCTGGGAGAACGAGGGGTCAAATGTTATGTTGATGCGGCATTAAGACGAGAGAACACGAGAGAAGAGATTCGTTGTTACTCCAGCGTCTGGACGGACGGAGTGAGTAGAAAATGCTTTAGTTTAGACCCATCAGATGATCTGCTACAGCCGGGGATCTATAATCACCGACTGTGACTTTAATTGGCTCGATGTTCTCAAGGGTCTTTAACACGTCTGTATAGAACTCTGAGGTGCATTCACATGGTTCTGCAGTGACGATACAAGCTACAGCAGTTTATTTTGAGGGCATTTTTGTAAATCATACTTGTAGTTTTCTCATTTTGACAACATGTATCACACTTTGGAACATGTGGGTGTTGCCCAATCCGCTGCATCTGCCTGAAGCATTTTCATTTGGGAAACTTTGTTATGGCAACAGTTACTTTTAATGGTCGAGTTTGCCGCTTGATTTCACTTCAATTGATCTTTCGCCCTTTGTTCTCTTGCTGCTCACTTCTTGTAACAAATGTAATCACCGCGTGGGCTCACTGAAGGGAAGACTTTGCAATAAAGTGGAACTGAATGCAACTCTCCTCTTCGAGGTCAGTCATCCTGCAGGTTTTTCTTTTGCTGACCGTTAATAAGATACACCGCGGAGATGCAGGAACAAAAACCTGCAGGATTTCTGGACCCCAAGGCGCCAGATCTGACCACCAAAGCCCTGTGGAATTGGAGACCAGAAGCCAGCTGGTTTAGAAAACATCAAGCGCTCCCTGGTACCTCGGGGTCCATCTCCTGCAGATCAGCATCCAGCTGGTCCAGCTCCGCAGCACTGAGGCCCTTGAGGATGGCATCCTCGTCGATGTCCCGGGGGTCCGACATGGCTCCTGAGGCTCTGGCTCACATACACACGCACTCACTCATACACACCGCTGCACACCTCTGGGCGAGAGGGCACTGTGAGAGAAGGGAAGAGAGAGAAGGGGGGGGGGGGGGGGGGGGGGG